TCCTCCCCTGCTCACAGTGTCCTCCGTAGTCACCCTCTGTGGCTGCTCTTTCGTGTCCCAGCCCTGCTCTCGGAGGGGCTGAGGGCTCTTCGTCTCGTCCTCCACGCGGCTCTGCCTCCTTCCTGAGCTGGAGACTGTCTGTCCCCATTTATAGTTTCTGTGCTACTTCTCTTTCCTATCTTCAATTGGATTAGAATACAGGATGCTTTAGTCTATAGAGAAGCCGTAGGGTGGCTTTCAGGTCTGTGCCTAAAAAAGGAGGCAAATCTCAGATGTCATTTTAGCCATTTTTGCCGTATCCGTATTCCAGATCCTTCCTGCTCCCAGACATCACAGATTCGTGTTTTCAATGTATTTTGAAACCAATGATCTCATTGAGCCCCTTGAGTTGTTTTCCATTTTAGAGCCCAAACCCAAGATTCAGGGTCACGTGAGTGTCCCAGGGTCTCCCAGTGTGGGGGAAGGGTGGCAGCAGGAGGGGCCCTGTGTCTTCGTAGTGTGTGATTCGGAGGAGAGTGAACCTCAACCGTTCCTCCTCCTAGAAGTCATAGATCAGATCTTGCAGAAGGACTCGACATGACTTTGTGTCTTCTGTCTGCCTCTGGCTCAGCCACTGTTGAGGGGGTGTTCCTGTCCCAGATTACGGCAGGACCAGGCCACCCCGATCTCCCTGGGACCACAGTGGGTGGAGAAGGGGCTGCACCCCAAGAAAAAAGCCGTGGGCAGGTGCACACCGGACGCCTTTTCTTTATGCGTCAGGCTAATACCACGGAAATTCTTCCATTTCCAGAAAGGAGGAATTGAGCAGTGCTGAGAGAAAGGCAGTCAGACAGACGAGAGGGCAGCGCTCGCCCCCTCGGCACCTGGCTTTGCCTTGGCAGGGGTGGGTTATGGGGCCCAGTCACGCTGGGTGGTCTTCTGTGTGCTGTCACTCTCGGGCTGTATGCGACCTCGTCTAGGACAGGGTGCTGCGGAATGTGGGGCTTGGGGACCAGCAGGTGGTGTGGTGTGGTGTAAGGCACTGGGGTTCGAGTCTCAGACCCAGTGGCTTAAAAATCACACCAGGTGTGTATGTGTGCATGGCCAAAATCTCAAGAGGAGAATGGAACGGCAGGACCAGGCCACCCCGATCTCCCTGGGACCACAGTGGGTGGAGAAGGGGCTGCACCCCAAGAAAAAAGCCGTGGGCAGGTGCACACCGGACGCCTTTTCTTTATGCGTCAGGCTAATACCACGGAAATTCTTCCATTTCCAGAAAGGAGGAATTGAGCAGTGCTGAGAGAAAGGCAGTCAGACAGACGAGAGGGCAGCGCTCGCCCCCTCGGCACCTGGCTTTGCCTTGGCAGGGGTGGGTTATGGGGCCCAGTCACGCTGGGTGGTCTTCTGTGTGCTGTCACTCTCGGGCTGTATGCGACCTCGTCTAGGACAGGGTGCTGCGGAATGTGGGGCTTGGGGACCAGCAGGTGGTGTGGTGTGGTGTAAGGCACTGGGGTTCGAGTCTCAGACCCAGTGGCTTAAAAATCACACCAGGTGTGTATGTGTGCATGGCCAAAATCTCAAGAGGAGAATGGAGAAGGGATTGTGGCATGGCCACGCCCCAGGGATGATTTCCCACTTTCTCCTCTCTCTGGCACGGACATGCACCCTATGCCAAAAACTTAAAAACGTGTGCTTTGTGGTTTGCAAATGTTCGAGGTCATAGACAGTTCGCCTCAGGGCAGGCATCACAGTGCCACGGGAGGCTGCGCAAACAGCCCCGGGTGCTGAGAGGCTGAGACAGAGAGCAGCTTCTGACCTAGCAGCCTTCGAGCAGCTCTTTGTAAAGGGGTCTGCATGGACACGCGTGATGATGTTTCTGTGAGCCGGGAGTGAGTGGTGGGTGAATGTGACTTGCGGATGGTGTTGGACAGAGTCTCTCCACGTTGTGATCCTCCTTCCCCAGCCTTCTGGGTAGCTGGGCCCACACGTGAGCCTGACCTTGTAGTTTCCCGATTCCTTTAGTTAACATTTACTAAGGGCTTACAGTTTGCTGGCGCCCGTGCCTGCTCCTGTGAGGATGGTCATGAACTTGACAGTGGTGTGGTCTTCAAGGAGTTGAGAGCCATGCAGGGGACCTGGAGCTGTGCGCAGTGACTGTGAGCGTCATGATAGCATTATGTTGAGTGTTTGTCGGTACCAGACATTGTGACAGACACTTCCTGTGTAGTGATGTGTTCTTCTAGGTAAGCCTCCAGTTTGTGTTTTCTGTGATTTCCATTTTGTGGGTGAGGTTAAAGCACAGAGGTGACATAACCTGATAGAAGTCATTCAGCCGGGGAGTGGAGGAGCCAAGCTCAGACGCTGACCCACCTGCCCTCCTACACGTGCCTCTGCCTGTGTGAGGGGCTTGCAGTGAGCACGGGTCTCAGGATGGGTGGGATGCTGGGACTCAGAAGGAGAAGTATTTGCTTTCCATCAGGAGTATGTGCTACTTGGGCAAGCACTCTGAGAGAGCATTCGAACGCAGGCAGGGAACCGGGGGCGTCGGGTGTGCGGGGACGGCTGTGGGTGGGAAGAGAGTTGCTGCCTCGTGAAGGTGGAGGACACAGGGCGGGGCGGGGGACAGTGGTACAGCTGGGTGGGGGAATTGCTGAAATCTGCTTGCAGGGGCTGGCACGATTCCCAGTGGGCTCTAGGACCCATGAGAGCTGCTGTTTTTCTAGTCCGTCCTTCACTTAGCGTGTCATCCTTTGGGGCCACCACTCAAATGTCTGGGTCTTGCCACTCACACTCCATAGGGGACACCAAAAGTCAATGTCTCCCCACCCCTGCCTCCCCCCACATACACTCCTGGTCCTTCGAATAGGTCAGAGGCTCTGCTCACATTCTCAGCGCCCAGGCCAACTTCCCTGTAATCCGCAGGTACCTCCAGGGGACCTTCCAGGTGGGCTGTGCATCGCAGTCCTGTAGTTCCTCACAGGCTCATGGGCTCGCTCTGGCTGGAACAGATTCTAAAGCTGCTCTGTCCGTGTCTCCTCGTGCTCTGGCTGAGTGGTCCGAGCTGTCTAGCCTGTGTTCTCAGGCGTAGATGTTCCTGAAGTCTGTCTCACACCTGCTCAGCTCGAGGTGTGTGTGTGTGTGTGTGTGTGTGTGTGTGCCAGCAGGGCCTCTGCTGCCCGCGCGTGGCATCATCTCGGCAGGTGCGGGCGGGCTGACCCTCAGAGGCTCAGCGGCAGTTGGCGCGTGTGCCTCCTGTCACGCTGCTGATGGAAAAGCGGTGTGTTGTTTCCTGGTTGTACCAATCGATGCTCCGTGTCTGATTCCTGCATGTGCTATCTTGAGAATAAGATGTAACAAATCTTTCAAGCAGACTATTTTTAAAAACTTATTCAAGATACTTTAACATTTGAAGATTTGCAATCTCAACAGAAAATTCTTTACCTCATGTGAGTATCTTTTGGCATCCTGAAAATGGAATTACTTAAGTGAACATACCCTAGTAAACTATGTTTAAGAGAAGATTTTTTCTTTCTTTTATTTGGAGAGGTTTTCGCTATAGGTTGTGTACACTCATCAGAAACACAGAGGGAGACATAGAGACAGAAAGCAAGAAATCACCCCTTGGGGGGATGGCCACGCTGTAATCCCTTCTCCTCCATTCTCCTCTTGGGATCTTGGGCACACACGCACATGCGCCCGGCGTGAGTTTTAAGCCACTGGGTCTGGGACTCGAACCGTGGTTGACTACATGAGAGTCCAGCGACATAGCCATTATGCTAACGACTGGTCCCAGGAACAATTTTTCTTTCTTTTTTTTTTTAAAAAAACAGGCCTACAAAGGGCCGAACAGGTGTGAGTGGCTGTCTTTCCACCCTCACTCGTGGCCATCTCCTCTCTGGTGGGCTTATGTCTCCAGCCGGGGCTGGACTGGCTTCCACGCCAGCTCAAGCCACCTCCATGCTAGTTCTCTGGGCTGACAGGCCCATCGCCCTGACAGGATGAGGACTGGAGTGTGTCTCCATGCCAGCTGGTTTCCTCCATGAGTTTAACTAATAGGAGACAATCTCTGTGTTCTTGCAACTAGTGAAACTAGTCAACTGGCTCACTTCGCTGAGGTCTTTGCTGGTTGTGAATTAGGGGGCGACCCCAGGTGAGACAGAGTCACTGAGCCGTGGCCTGGGCCGCCTGGACAGGCTGGCATTACTCTTGAATAGCAGGGGCGAGGGGGGCGGGGCATGCCGGCCCTTGTGGGAGACCTGCCTGCCGTGTGGAGGCTAGGCCATAAGGGAGTGAGGGGACATGGAGCAGCGAGGAGGGAAGTGACGGTCCCTGGTGTGCTCTGAAAGCAGCCCGCTTTCTTGTCAGTGTGGACGTGGTCTCGGGTCAGGCTGGCCACTCGCTAGATGACGTCACCATAGATGACAAAGATCAGACGCAGTCAGTGCTCCTCAAGGTTGATGTTCAGAGGAGTGTGACGTCTGTTACCAGCTACTGTCCCGTGTCTGCAAGGCGGGGGGACCGTGTCTCGCCAGGAGCGAGCCAATTCCCACACGTGGATTCTGCAGAGTGGGCCTCCACGTGAGCCCTGAGGTGGGGTGTCTCGTGGCTTTCATAGGGTCCCACTACAGAGACGCGGCTGCTTGAAACTGGGCGAGGAGGTGGCATTTAGACAGGATGATGTGGTGGTGGGGAGCCAGGCACGCGGGCGGGGAGACGCGTCCAGCCTGAGGGAGCAGCTGGGACAGAAGGCCGAGGGAGGGCTGGCACTCCCAGTTCGGAGGTTTTGGCCCGGGCCACGCAGGAGCCGGAGGCTGGGTGTCTGGGCGTCAGAGTTGCTGCTGAGCAGCCGCCCTCTGCAGGAGCGGCCCCTTCTCAGCCCTTCGGCGGCGAGGCGCGGCACGTGCTCAGGGGCGTGCTCAGCGGTGAGGAGGGGACAGGAGCTCGGCTGGGTCTGCGTGCCGCCCCTGCACGTCGAGTGCACCGGACCAGTGCCCTCCTTACACTTTGTTCTTGTTCCTTAGATGGCATCAGCGTGAGTGGCTTCCCGCTGTCCAGCCCCTTTCGACAGGTGGTTCGTCCCCGGGCAGAGAGCAAAGCCATGAACGCCCCGGAGAGCGGCAAGGCTGGGGACTGCAGCCACGTGAAGGTGAGTGCGCCGTGGCGGCCGGCCTGCCGGGACCTCTCAGTTCGGCAAAGCCTTCTCTGCAGCCGAGTCTCGCGTACTTTTCTGAAAGTGAAGGAAGCGTGTGTTAAGCTGGTTGCTCAGTATCCGCGGTCGTGTGGAACATTCTGGAAAGCAGCAGCAGTGATGTCTGGGCCCGTTGTCTTTTGGCATTGCTAGTGGGGTTTTGTGGGCTGAGCCGAGGGGTGCGATGGTTAAGGTAGAGTGTTCATTGGAAAGCATTGTTTACTGCACAGAGCCCAGTGTGGGTATTTCTTTCATGTATTTTTCTAAATCCTTCGGCGACTCCTTCCCGTTGTTGGTTTGTCCGCACCAGCGAAGCCAGGTGGTTGCACAGCTAACCCGGGGGTGTTGGCACTGCCGTGCCATGTCGGGACGCTGGGCCGCGCGGCCGAGGCCGTAGGCTCTAAGGAGAGGTCTGAACCGGAGCTTGGGTGGTCGGAGCCTTCCTGGAGGGGAGCTGGGGTCCCGAGAGCTGGGACTGGGGAGCAGTGGCATGCTCTTCTCGGGGTACATCCTCCACAGGGTTCTTGCCGAGAGGAACTGGGATGGAAAGGGTGACCGTTCGTGGAGTGTGCTCTGCCGGCCGGGAACGGGCTTGGGCCTGATGTTCTTAGGGTGACTCGGGGAAACGAGTGGGGAACGAGTCCGGGAAGACTGGCTGGAGTCCATGGCGTTCGCGCGGCGGAGTAGGCCAATGGCCCGTGTCCTTTCTGTTAACTCTCCTTCTGGGCTTGGGCGCAAGGGGGCAGGCCCTGACAGCAGGGCCTGGGAAGGGCCTCCCCCAGGCCACCGGGAGGAGGTGCAGTAGGAGGCGGGTGGGGATCCCCCGTGAAATCCTGCATTTCTGGGCACAGTCACCCTTGCCTGCCTCGTCTGGCACCGCCGGGCCCAGAGCAGAGCCCGCTTCTCCTGAGCAGGGACGGGGGCTTTAATCAGTCATGCTAAACTTATAAAATGATCACCGAGGAATGGCGTAGTCATGGAAACGAGTCATTCTGTGAAAGTGGCTTCTAGGGAGTGCCTCAAGAGTGGGAAAAGATCACAAGCGTTTCTTCAGACTTTCCAGAAAGCTCTTTCCCCGGTTAGTGCTGGTTATGCTTAGCCGCGTTGTTCCGGTCTCTTCTGCTTGTCTCGTGAAGAACCTCCTGAGGTTGGAAATAGAGCCTGCTGACGGAGACTTGTGTCACCAGTACTTACACAACCAGACTCTGCAGGATGGCCTGCCTGGCCCTCGGCATCCCCACTGCAAAATGGAATAATAGTAACACTCCTTTGTGGGTCCTTGTGGGAAGAGAAAGGAATAATAATACATCTGGACTGCATTCTTGTATGGTAAGAGAAGGAGACTCGGGTAAGTCAGCCTGGCTCCGTGGGGCCTGTTCTTGCTAACAGCAGGGCCAGTACTGGACAGACAGGGTCATGGGGTCACTTCAAGGGCCTGGAGCCTCATCTTGCTCAGAAAAGGCATCTGACGCGTCCCCAGTCTTGGGCTCTGCTCAGCCCTGCCTGTCCCACCCGTGTCAGCCTTGGAGGTTAGACACGGCCTGCATATGTGTGTCAGCGTGAGAAGGACACAGCAGGAGCTCCGTGGAGAGCCTCCCGAGAGGACCAGGCTGGGGCAGGTGCCTTGGGCTGGGCAGACATCTCGGGGAGCAGGAGGCTTTCCACCTGAGTTGGACGTGCCGTGTGTCAGCGAAGGCTTCGCAGAGCTCTGCCCTCAGAAGTGTCCGACATCCTTGCTGCCCTGGAACTGGACGACATGCAGGAGAGGGAGGCAGCTGGAATGGCTGCCAGCCAGTCGGGGAGCCCGCTCTGGAGCAGGCACGCG